CGAAGGACCAGATCCCAACATTGATTACATCGTGTGTCCTTAGTAATGTTATGTCTTTGTTTATGTTATTCACTTGTAACTCATACTCATCTTATTTAGAAGCATCTCGTAGGACACTTAGTTAAACCATAAACCTTGTGTTTGTGTTGATTAGAGTTAGTCAAGTGGTTAGCTTTGTAACAGAGTTATTATAAAGAGGATTGCAATAAAGGTATTATAAGTAGGCGATGGATTAAGAGTTTAATTCCTAGGTTACAATAGGTTGTAATCTAAAGTTGCTCAGTTAATGAAGTTGAAATCTTACGAGTGTAGGTCGTAGATTTTAATCCCGTGAGCTGGGTGTTTTCCACTTAAATATCATTGTGTTATTTACTTACTGATATGTTCTGTAGGAACTGATAGGGAACCAGGTTCTCTATACAGTTTGGTATACTCTTAGATTACATCAATTGGTATCAGAGCGAGATATTTTTATACGAATAACACCTAGAAAGGATCTACATGGCTGCTCCACCAAAGTTTGAAGAAGGTTAATCAACCTACAGACCACCAAGATTCAATGGACAATACTACGGTCGGTGGAAGACAAGAATATATGATTTTATCATGGCAGAAGATTCAGAGCTTTAGGATGTTAGCTGTGATGGACCCTTTGTCCCTATGAAGACCATTGGCGAGACAACAGTCACAGTTCCAAAGACAAAGAAGGAATATAATGATGCTAGTCGTAAAGCCATCGAGAAAAACTTCCGAGCAAAGAATATCATCGTCTGTGGTATTGGACCAGACGAGTACAATTGAATCTCAGCCTGCCAATCTGCCAATGAGATTTGGGAGGCCTTCCAAACTACACACGAAGGTACCACTATAGTCAAGTAGTCAAAAATTGACATGCTCACTACTGAGTATGAACTTTTCAAGATGAAGGAGGATGAGTCTATTCAGGACATGCATACTCGCTTTACTTCCATTATCAATGAGCTTCACTCTCTTGGAAAGATTATCCCAAGGAGCAAACTGGTTAGAAAAATACTCAGTGTGTTACCTGGTTCCTGGGAGAGCAAAGTCAATGCTATCACAGAAGCCAAAGATCTGCAAAAGCCGACGATTGATGAACTAATTGAAAATCTGAAAACCTATGAAATGAAGAAGAAGAAAGATCATGAAAGAAGAGAACCCAAAAAGGAGAAGAACCTGGTTCTCAAGGCAGACAACAGTGACTCAAGTGGTGATGATGCTGACATGGCCTATCTTGCACGGAGATTTCATAAAATGGTTCGTAGAAATGAAGGTATTCCTAAGAAAGGTAGCTCTAGCAGAAACACAAAAGGATATGATTGTTGTCACAAATGCGGGAAGCCGGGACATTTCATCAAAGATTTCCCTCTCCACAAGTAGGACCATTACAAGCACAACACATACAAGACAACTAAGAGGAACCCAGTCTCCGACATGAAATTCAAGAGAAGAGATACCGCTGATAATGTTGTAAAACAAGCTCTTGCAGCCTGGGGAGATTCCTCTAGTGAATCTGAGGGTGATGATGAACATGGTGACACCTCCATGATGGCCGTTGAAAGCGAAGGTGTAAAATATGATTCCATATTTTCCCTAATGGCAAAATCTGATGAGGATGAAGATGATGATTACAACGAGGTAAACATTCTAGACGTTCAAAGAAATTTGAAGTCCTACTCTCAAAAGAAGTTGGTATCTTTAGCTAATGTCTTAATTGATGCTTACCACAATTTCATTAATGATAAAAATGCTTTAACTGAGAAAAAAGGAGTTATAGAGCATGAGAGAGATGATTTACTAGTCGTAGTTGTTGATTTAAAGGAAACAATAGAGGAGTTAAAGAAAGAAAAAGATGTTTTAACTGAGAAAATCGGAGAGATAGAACATGAGAGAGATGACTTGCTGGTAGTAGTTGTGGATCTGAAGGAAATAGTAGAGGAGTTAAAGAAAGATAATATTTTGTTAAAAACTTTCAATGGACAATTGCATGAACTCCTCAAAAGGAAAGGAAGTGACGAGTGAGCTACACCTTAAGCTTGAAAATAAACTCAAAAAGGTAAAATTGAGTCTTTGTGCTGAACTTGAAAGAAATAGACATCTTCAGGAAGATTTAAGCAGGGTTAATAATGACCTAGATAAATCTCTGACGTGGACCTGGTCTTCTAACACAATCACTTCCATGTATAGAAGTAACGGGGGGAACATGCAGGGAATCAGGTTCCAAAAAGAAAAGGCATCCTACAACTCACATAGCAAGTATGTTATTGTGCCTAATAACTAGCTTTGCACTCATTGTGGTAATACTGGTTATTACAAAGATTCTTGTAAAGCAAGGTCTCAGTCCCCACAGAAAAACAAATTTTTTGTTGAAACAATATCTACTGCTAAGGAAACTGTTTCTCTTAAAAAAAGTGTGTGATGCCTACCTGGACTAAAAGACGTCTAATTCGCCCCTTTCCTTATTATAAGGGACCCAAACGTGTTTGGGTTCCTAAGTCCAATCTTTGATTCCTTGTGCAGGAAGCAGTGAAAGGAAGCAATGAAAGATGGTACATAGATATTGGCTGTTCTAAACACATGACTGGAAGTACTGATGATTGTTTTTTACTCAAAGCCCTGCAAGGTAGGAGTGTGTCCTTTGGAAATGGCAAAAAGGGATACATTCTAGGAATTAGAAAAATTGGGAAGACACTCACTCGCTCAATTAAAAATATGTATTATATGAATGGCTTGAAATACAGCCTGTTGAGTGTCTCTCAAATCTGTGACAAAGGAAACAAAGTGGAGTTCTTATCAAAGACTTGCATTGTGACCAATCTTGTAACTGGTGAAATAGTTCTAGTGGAAAAAAGAATTAAAAACATCTATGTTGCAGACTTTGACTCTCTGAACAATGGTGATGTTACATGTTTGAGTGTTGTTGATGATGATGTTGAACTATGGCATAGAAGATTGGGACATGCAAGATTTCCTCTATTGAACAAGCTGATCAAGAAGGACCTGGTCCATGGGCTGCCAAAGTCAAAGTTCAAAGATCACGAGGTGTGTGATGCATGTATGAAAGGAAAGCAAGTCAGGTCCTCATTCAAGCCAAAGAAGGAAGTGAGCACCTCAAGGCCACCGGATCTTCTTCATATGGATTTGTGTGGACCTATGAGGATGCCCAATAGAGGAGGAAAGAAGTACATCTTCGTTATTGTTGATGACTATTCCAGATTCACATGGACCTTATTTCTCAAAACCAAGGATGAAACCTTTCCAGTTTTTGCTGCCTTTGTGAAGCATATTCAAGTGAAGAAGAGCCATAATATTGTGAGCATAAGATCTGACCATGGCACCGAGTTTGACCATGCAAAATTTGATGAATTCTGTGTTGAAAATGGTATAAGTCATAATGTTTCGGCTCCCGGAAGACCTCAACAAAATGGTGTTTTGGAAAGGAAAAATAGGACTCTTGAAGATATGGCAAGGACAATGCTAATTGATAGTAGTGTACTAAAGAGATTTTGGGTTGAGCAATAAACACTGCATGTTATCTCATAATCAGGTGCATGATCAGGTCCCTCCTTAACAAGACACTGTATGAATTGCTAAATGGGAGAAAACTAAAGCTGACTTACCTAAGAGCATTTTGATGCAAATGTTTTATTCTCAGTAATTGTAAGCAAGCATTGAGAAAATTTGATGCTAAAAGTGATGAAGGAACTTTTCTTGGCTATTCTTCACAAAGTAAAGCATACAAGGTCTACAACAATAGGACTAAATGTGTAGAGGAAAGAGTACATGTAATCTTTGATGAATCACACCACTCAAGGGGAAAAGATTCACATGATAAGAATGATCAAGATGGAGATTATTCAAAGGTCCCTGGAGAGGTCATAGATATGGCAAACGGGAAGGCAGACCTAAAGAGTCAAGTCAAGGAGTCTAGTGAAGATGATGCAACAGAACTTCCAGCTGTTTCGGAGGAACCTGGTCCCTCAATCACAACAACTGAAGCTGAAAATAGAGTTGATGATGTTGTACTAGGTACTCCTGATGCAGAGCAGAGAAGTGGTACTCACACTTCCATCGATGCCAATAATGGGTCTCACATGGCGGAACATGGTCCCTCACATCCTGAGACTCAGATGTCTAACTGGAAGCACAAAAGCTCACATCCTCTCCAAAATGTAATCACTCCTTTGGATTCAGGAATTCAGACTAGATCAAAGACAAAAAACATGTTTGCTTTCTCAGCTTTCCCATCTCAAATTGATCCAAATAATATCAAGGAAGCATTTGAAGATGCTGATTGTATTGCTGCTATGCAATAAGAGCTCCATCAATTTGAGAGGAACAATGTGTGGCACATGGTTCCTCGACCTTCAGATAGAACTGTCATAACTAGGTGGGTGTTTAGAAATAAGCTTGATGAGTTTGGCAATACAACAAGAAATAAAGCCAAGCTAGTGGTCCAAGGCTATAATCAAGAGGAAGGAATTGATTATGATGAAATTTTTTCTCCAGTTGCAAGAATGGAAGCCATCAGAATTCTTATTGCTTTTGCATCTCATGTGGAATTCACATTGTTCCAAATGGATGTTAAGAGTGCATTTCTGAATGGATATTTGAAGGAAAAAGTTTTTGTCAAACAACCACCTAGTTTTGAATGCCATGAACATCTTGAACATGTCTTCAAGCTTGACAAGGCCTTATATAGATTAAAGAAGGCCCCTCGTGCATAGTATGGAAGGTTGTCCAGGTTCCTTTTGGAGAATGGCTTCACTAGAGGGAAAATTGACAACACTCTTTTTCTAAATAAAAGAGGGAGGAATGTGCTAATTGTGCAGGTCTATGTTGATGACATCATTTTTTGTGCAACAAATGATTCTTTGTGTGAGGAGTGTGCAAAGCTTATGGGAAGCGAGTTTGAGATGCGTATGATGGGGGAACTGAAATTCTTCCTATGACTACAATTTAAGCAAACCTCTAAGGGAACGATGATAAGACAACAAAAATACATTAAGGAGCTTCTGAAGAGATTTGAGATGGAAAGTTCAAAGACCATTGATACTTCTATTCCTACTGCCACTCATCTAGACATAGACGAACCTAGTTCCCCTGTAAATAAAACTATGTATCGGGGTATCATTGGATCTCTCTTGTACCTAACAGCCAATAGACCTGACATTGTGTTTAGTGTTAGGTTGTGTGCTAGATTCCAATCAAGTCCTAAAGAATCTCACTTGAAAGCTGCTAAAAGAATTCTGAGATGTCTCAAAGGAACACAAGATCTGGTCCTATATTATACCTCAGGGGATAATTTTGACTTAATTTTGTATGCTGATGCTGATTATGCTGGTTATCTGGTGGAAAGGAAGAGTACATCTGGCATGGCACATTTTCTGGGATCATGCTTGATTTCATGGGGTACAAAGAAACAAAATTCCTGTCTCTCTCTACTGCATAAGCTGAATTTGTGGCAGCTACCTCATGTTGTGCCCAACTACTGTAGATCAAGCAATAATTAGAAGATTTTGGTGTATTTTTTGACTGTGTGCCACTGCTGTGTGACAACACAAGTGCCCTCAATATGGCAAAGAACCTGCTTTAGCATAAGTAGATAAAGCATTAAATGTGCGACACCATTTCCTGAGGGACAATTTTGAAAAGGACTCATCTGTATGAAGTTCTGCAAGATAGAGGACCAGGTAGCCGATATCTTCATCAAAGCACTGAATAGAGAGCACTTTGAAAAGAATCGACTGGAGCTGGGTTTGATCAAATTTACTGAGAACCTGGTCCCTCAATGACTAGCTATGAAAGGATGGTAAGGTGAATTGCTAAAACGTGTTTTCTGGCAACTTCTAACTAAATTCTATACCATTACAGGTAAACACGCATGGCAACTACAGGACAAACAAGTAGCTAATGACATTGCAATTTGTTAGAAGGATGGTGCTCACATTTTCAAAATTAGTTAGGGAACCTGGTTCCCATGACTTAGGTTAGTAGTTCCTCTTATACTCATACACATTTTTGAACTGTTAGTGTGCCACGTCATTAATTGTTCTTGCCCTTTCCCATATCTCTTAAACCCAAACGACACACCCATTATAAACTGACTCATCTACCCATTCATTAAATCATGTCCATTTGTAACTGATCCCTCATTTCCCTCTAAATACCCCCAAAAGACAAGTCTCTCTCATAACTGTCTACTTAAACACTCTTTCTCTTTGAAAATCCTCCTTTTTGTGTCTTCACTCTCCAAAATCTACCATGTCTTCACTACAATATGAGTCTTAAAAGGCCATCACTGAAATCCCTGCTGTGTCTTTGTCCCATGAAGCACACCTATTAGGATTGTAGCCCCAACCTTCACCTATTGAAACCCCTATTTTCAACCAACCACCACCTACCGTCTCCTCCACCACTCCATCTAGTTTTGGTTCCCATCACAACCGAAAAATTAAACTCCTAAAAAGTTTGTTGCTTTGACCTCCCCTTCTGCTACCATAGAGAAAATGGAAGTAGAGGGACTAGCGGAAGGAGAAGAAAGTGCAGAGGTTTCTAGTCAACGTATTGAGGAAGAGGTTATGGACAAAGTGGTTGTCACTGGTTTGAGTGGCGATGTGTCAGCATATGGTGTATCTGACACCCCCACAGTTTAAGGATTTGATCTGAATGTTCTATCATCATCGGATAATACTCCACTCACTCTTACTGATTCTGTATTGTTGGAAAATATGGGTGAGAAAGATGAAAATACTTTGTCTGTTGCTATTGAGGGGAGTCTAGTTGGGGATTCTATGTCTGGTTGTGTGAATGCTGGGGTTCAGGGGAAAGAACGAGGGAATGGGGTCCTGGTGCCTCAAGGTGACACGTTACTGGTTAGTACTACAGGGGAGCTTACAGAGGGACCTGGTCCCTATGCCCAAAAGAAATTTTCTGCTCCTACTTGGGATGAAACTCCATGCTCTACTAAATAGCCCTTGGACAGTACTGACCCTACCCCTTCCCTCCTCACCTTAATGTAACCCATTTAGACATTATGTACCCTAAAATGAAGTCTGTGTCAGAAGAAGAAGGAGATGAAAGTGAGGAGGATTATGACAATTTGTCTATAGCCCAGTTTATCGCTGCTAGGAGTGGTGGAAAAACTATTCAAAAGTTTGTTCCTAAAAGACCCACTACTAGGCAACAGAAAAAGGTTGCTCTTGATAATGCTCTAAAGGAGAATAAGGAGAAAAAGAAGAGAAGAAAACTTGTGTAAAGTAGACTAGTTGATGAGGAGGATCTGCCTCTGGTAAATGTGTTGGAAGTTGAGGATGAAGAGGTGAATGAGGAACCTACTTCTCTTGTCCATAAATCCTCTAAGAAGATTGTGCCTGCGAAATAGATGAAGGTATCATCTACAAAGGTTGTTAAAACTGGTACTGAAGAAAGTGTTGAGAAGAAGGAGTCTGGTGAGAAGGAGAAGTTTGCTTGGAAGGAGAAAAGTGTTGGGAAAAATAAGTAGCGACAGTGAGGAACCTAATTCCTCAAAGAAGGCCAGAGTTAATATGTCTGAACTTGAACGAAAAGAAAAACTAAAAAAGTAAAAGATTCTATGGGGCAGAGTTTTTGACACTGATATTCTTGAGAAGTCTGGAATGAGGAAGTTGATTGAAATCTGTGACTTCCAAAAGTGGACTAATCTTTTTACTGTTCAAAGTCCAATGGTTTGTGAGGAGGAAGTTCGCAGTTTCTATGCTGATCTGTTTAATGTGGAAGGTGACACCATCTGCTTGTAGGTCAATGGGGTAGACTGTGTGATTGATGAGGCTGTGCTCGGGGATATTCTTGAGGTGCCTCCTGAAGGGTTCTCAACTATGGAGGGGACCTGTTCCCCAAGTTTTAGGATGCTTATTCTCAAGCCTCAAGCTGTTCAGCAAGGGGAACGAGTGAACAAGAAGGTGCTGCTTGTAGAATACCAACTCCTGTTCGAGTTGGACAATAAGGTCTTACTACCACGAGCTGAAAGTCGATCCATTGCATCTATAGCAGACCTGGTTCTTTTGGAGACATTCGACGGATACACTGCCATCAATTTTCTTGGGATTCTAATTGAACACATGCCGAAGGTGGCAAACTTCAAGGATGGAAACCATGGGTTTCATATGGGTTCCTGCTCACAAAAATCTTTGAAAGTTTTGATGTCACGTTAGGGAGAGCAGTTGTGGGAACTTGTAAGAAAATGTTCTCAATAAACACCCTGGAGGAATGCGAGTGTATTGACAAAAGGTGGGAATTGACAGCTGTTCTACAATCTCTCAACTTATCGATGCTCAGAGTACTGCTAATGAGGTAATCAGGAGGTTGAAGGACCAGAATGCCATTCTTGAGGGCAAGCTCAATCAACATAGGACGGAACCTGGTTCTAGTAGTGCTCAAGGTGCAGATGTTGCCCGCCTGACTGCTGAGAATGCAGAACTGAGGAAATAGGTGGAGAACCTGAAAGAGCAGTTGACCAATGAGCAGATAGCTGCTAATGCTCGTGTGGATGGTCTCCTCAAGGCTCTTTCTCCCTCTTCCTTCCCTTCCTTCTAGTTCCTCCTAAATTGTTTCCTTGTCATTGTTCCTTTTGTTAGTCCCTGCCAAATTCTACAATTTTCTTTTTGTTCTCCGTCCCCTATGGTTGTGGTACTCTATTAATGCTTATTTTGTGAATGTTTTGTAATGATGGTACTGTTACTTGTTTTTCTTCTTCTTAAATTAATGAGTATCTTAGCCCTTTTTAAATGCATGTTGTACTCTTGTGTTCTCTTTTTAGCTATGCTGTCTGCACACAAGTAGCATGAGTTAACTTTGCTGGACTTCTTTTTGCGTTTACTTGTATAATTCTTTTTATGATGCCAAAAGGGGGAAGAAAATTTAAGGGGTGAAACAAGTTCTCAAGGGGAATACGGTTATTCTGCGTGAGGAATAATATGGAGATTTGGTTCTCAGAGGGAATATCAATTCTAAGTTTTTCATTATCAAAAAGGGAGAAATTGATAAGTTATGTGCCTTTTTGTTTTGATAATTTAACCAACTTCATTTGAGAACCAGATAGGGAACTTGATACAACTAGCCTCTCCACACTCAGAACAACAAGTCAAATGTTTGGCACAAGTTCCAATGAAATCAATTAAGGGAACAACAGAGGAAACATATAAATATCAGTTCCTCCGGTCACAATACAAATCAACTCTTACAGTTGTTAAAGCTATTGTACTGCACACGCAATAATACAACATCACTGTGGAAGCATGTTGTGTACCGGACACTCCCTTGCATCATCTTTGATGACATCACTTATATATTACCAATATGAGGCAAAGGACTACACACACTTGCAAACACTAAAATATTATTTACTCTCAAGTGTGCAACCGCCTTCATTCTCTCAAAGGCATAGAAGAACAAAACAGCAACATAACGAAGGACCAGATCCCAACATTGATTACAGCGTGTGTCCTTAGTATTGTTGTGTCTTTGTTTATGTTATTCACTTATAACTCCTACTCAACTACAATAAGTGCATATAAGAGTAACTTTGACAATGGAAATCTAGAACATTTACTAATAACATCAGTTAAAGCATGTAAGAATAAAATTGACAACAAAAGATACACATATGAATAATAACTTCAATTAAGTGCTTATAAGTATCCTAAGAGTCTAAATAGGACAATTAACATATATAAGTCCGTGTACACACTCGTCACCTCGTGTACACGCCTTTCACATACTTCAATTAGCATAATCAACCCATATCCCAAGGGAAGTTCCCCCACGAAAAGTTAGACAAGATACTTACCTCGACTAGGCCAAAACAACACTCAGAAATAGCTTTTCCCTTAAAACTCGCCTCTGCACGACTCAAATCTAACAAAAAGATGACTTAATGTTATCAAACAATGCAAGAGAATCCAATTACGGTTAATAAAGCTATGATCTTTACACAATTCTCTAAAAGTCAACAAAAGTCAGCCCCGGGCTCGCCGGTCAAAACCCAAGTCCAAGGGTAGATCTTGACTACCCATATACCCACGAGTCTATATATGTGTTTTGTTCTCAAATCCGAGTCCAATTTGACTCTCAAATCCCGTATTTTTATTTTTCAAAACTTAGACAAAAATCCCCAAAATTTCTCTTTGAATCTCCTAAATTTGATGTTAAATCCCATATAAAATCATGAAATATAGATGGAAATTGATTAAAACTGCATACCCAATGATTAAATCTCAATTGCGAACCCTCACGATTGTGAAGAAAGCCTCACAATTGCGGCTCCTGACAGCCTAAGGAGATGTCACAAATGCGAGAATGGCTTCGGAATTGCGAAGCCTGCTCCCATCGCAAATGCGATCCTACCTAGACTAGCCTACTCTCCATAATTGTGATACCTGCTCCCCTACTTATCACTTCGCAATTGCAAGGCTGATCCTCCCAATTGCGACAACTGCAGCACCAACACTCCAGCAACCCAAAAATGAGTTCAAAC